TTTTTCTCCCTTGTCAGATTTGCCCTCTTCAACTTCAATTTTTAAACAGAGATAAATCCATGTGCTATGTTTGGGTTTGTCAAAATCGTTCAGGGATTTTTCAAACCAAATTCTAAATACCATGCCTAACATATCAAAATATCCTGGGTAAGAACATAACTTGAAGAAAAGGATCTGTTATAGGTATTTATCACTATAGTCGTAAATGCTAACACACACAAGAAAGGGCTGCGTGAAGAAAGAACTGTATCTTGCTTAATATTTAGGAATTCAGAGTAATGATAAGTATTAATATATTTTCAGTGTCTCTACAGTGTAAAATTAAGATATCATGATACATTTAAGCCATTTGAAAAAAGGGTGAGCTGAGGTCAACTGTAGCAAATCTCTCTTCAGCCCTATTACTCCCCATATAGTCTGGGAGGTTGTTCTCTGGGTACTCTACAATATGCTGAAGCTTCCCATAAGAGATGGCACTGTTCTGTTACATCACTCTTCCATTATGTCTTCTTCAGCAATCTTATGTTACATTTCAGGAATATGGAATCTCATACCATAGAATAACTACCTCCCCTCCTTACTAATGTCACAATAACATCTGTTTCAGTTGTGCAATTTTCCAGAAAGAGCACAACCATCTAACCAGTGGAGGAATAGGACAGTTTTCCATTCCTCTTTTTTGAAACAGAGAGCCTGGACATAGAGCACCCTCTCCTCTCTAGTTCTAGGGAATGGAAAGACACAGGAAACGAGGCAATGCCAGCAGTAGAAGGGGTCACAAAACTAGCGTCTGCATACCACAGCAGTACTGTTACTTAATCATGCTAGTATCATATAACCTTAATATTATTATATTGTCAAGGTATCAGTACATAGTCCATCTCTTAATTCAGAATTCTTCCTTAAATATAAGCAAATTATCCTGAAGTAAGCCTACAACATCCTTGTGAGAAATACCAAAAGCATTAACATACTCGGCAAGTTACTGGATTAAATTGCTTTCACAATACACTTGTCAAAAAAACCCACTATAATATTTTACATTTCAAAAGACATTATTCAGAGTTCATAAAATCTTGATCAGTCAACTAGATTTTTTTTTTTTTTAAAGAAGTATTTGATGGAAAAGATATTTAGTTATTCTGGTCAATTGGACAGAAGCAATATAAAACCAGCAGAGATAGTTACTTAAAGTTACAGTTTCAAAAGGCTATGTAACAACTCCTACTTCTAAACACCAGGAAACACCCTGGTAGTCCTGGTTTGTGTTCTTTAAGCATGATGCTCTTATGCAGCAATACATAATTTTCTCTTCTTACATTTCAGAAATAGAAAGTATTAAAGCTATTATATTGAATTCTACATGAAGAACTATCGGGAAGCTGATTTTTTGAAATTTTTTTTAAGGTTCTCTTACCTCTACTTTCTCTTGTTCTTCTAATGCCAAAAAAACAGCTGCTCGCAACTCTGCCTGCCAAATAAAAAAAAAAATACAACAGCATTTCCACAAGCACTGTTTTCCCTATGCAAATAGAATGCAAAGAGCCAGCAAGTAGCTTAACAGCTATTTGTTTCTCCTCAAGCAACTTGGCATCGATTGTAATCTACATCAATGCAATTAAGACACTTAAGATTACAGGCAATGTGACTTTAGGCTGGGAAAGAAGAGTTTTCAATCTGAGAACAAGGCGGTGGGGAGATTTGATAGCAGACTTCCTAAACTATTTCTTCATACATAAAGATATTGCAAATCACCTATATTATCTCTTATTAGTTTTTTGAGAGTTAAAAATCCAGCTCTTCAGGCAGCTTTGAAACACCTACTCTTCATTTACAGTTCATTCAGGAAACATGAAGAAATAGCTTGTGATAATACATTTTAAAAGCTAATGTTAAGATATACAAATTCCTATGATTTCTTGTCAGATCACACTCAAAGAAACAGAATTTCTCAAGGAAAAGAGAACATGATTCCAGTCATTTAAATATTCCTGTACTGAGGTTTTACCTAACTGATTTTGAATATCTTAATATCAAGGATCAGAATTCTTGTAAGGACTATTTTGAATATTTAAGCTTTTGCCTTGCCTATTTTTTTTTTTAATTTTTTTTAAACACTACAGTTCTCTACTTCTTTCATTGAACATATCAAATGGACAACATACATTACATTTAATGAAGGAGTTTGCCACTTTAATCAACTCTTAATCTGACATTTAGAAGGAGCCAGTAGATAACACTGCAGTAATAAACTATAAGAGATAGTGCTACTCTGTATGCCAGTTTTCTCAAGAGCAAAGAAGAAAGCAAGCTTTTAAAGAAAGATTGATTTGTAAGATTTAACTAAGATTAAGAACAATATGAAGAGTGGCTGGATTTTCTCATGTATATTACAAAAGGTAACTAAACATGGATTACCCTGTAACTGTTCCCTCCCACCAAAAAAAAAAAAAGCTTTTCATGGGAAAAATAAACACTTCCTTTTTAAGCATAACTCTCTTTGGGAATCTTTTTAAAGGACAAAAAGTAATGCTTTTTAAACTTTTTTAGTTAAAAATACTTCCCATCATAAGAAGTGTAAAATGCTTACCACAATTGCATGCAAAGGTCATACTGACACTGCAGTTACATTTTTTCAGGTGCTGGGGTACAGCATTCAATCAGCAAATCCTCTTACAACCCACTAATTTAAATATTACTCTTACAAAAACAGTTTACATTTAACTTTCCCACCAACAGCTAACAACTTGTTTATTAAGTCTTATGTCACTATGAAAAACTTCAAATGGTTGCAAGGCTGACTTTTTCCACTGATACCACAGAAACCAAGTGTACTTACATTAAGAGGACAAGAAGAATAACACAGCATCGTGAAACAGACTGGCTAAAAAAAAAATTCAAAAAAAAAAAAAAAAATAAAAGACACGAGCCATTACATATGGGGAGGGGTAAACCCCCTTAAGGGTCTGGATCATGAGACTGTACAACCAAGTTGTCTGAAAGTAGTTGCCATTACATCAGCTGGTCCAGAGTCTGACCTGTTTGAGATTTTGGAACAGTATCACAACTATCATTCCTTTTCACAGAACTGTGATTATTTGCCTGCTCCACTCCTCTAGGTCCAACCCAGTGGCTTTTAAATATGAACTGAGGTGCTTTTCTTCCTCTTCTCATCTATTTAATGACACCGTCAATTTCTCCCAGATGTTGCCATTCCCCATTAATAGCAGGTTCACCTTATATTTCCATTAGTGCCCAATCAATATCCTTAAGGTCAGGACCTTATCACCAGAAGATAATGTCACTGGTATTTACTACATCTCCCTTTGGCTTACCTGCATCATCTAGAATACCACTCTACAGCCTTTCCACAGATAAGCAGCCCTCCAATTGGTCCTTCAATCATGTGAGAATCACAGTAAGTTTGAAGTTAAGCGTTCCTGTACTACCTCCACAAGGAAGGTTTACACCATTCCAACATGCTGACCTTCAGCCTTTGAAGTGGGTACTGCTCAGATCGTAGCAAGATATTCTCAAAATATCATCTCAAATTTAGACATGGAACCATACACTTGAATCTGTGCGAGGTTTAAGTAATAATTCTCAAGTTCATGAGGAAGAAAGTAAAAAGCAACAATAACAAAGCTGAGGCCAAAGGAAAAATCACCCCAATACAAGGAGATGAATCATACTACACAGTAGGATGGACAATGTCATATAGGCTTTTCAGGACCTGAAACAAGTCACAGAATTTGAACACCAGAGACTGAGACCACCATCATCAGGTATGGTCAAAGCAATTTGCTCCCACCAGCAGATATGGAGGCTTAAATAACTGCATAGATTAATCCATTTCTTCTCCCCCCCCCCCCCCCCCCTCCTCCTTTCTTTACTTTG